GGTGCTGACCCGCGGGCCGGGGGCTGACGGCCTCGGCGGGCGGGAGGAGGGCCAGCGGGGTGCCCAAGGGGAAGCCGCTAACTCTGAACTGAGGGTAAGCGCAGATGCAGAACTTAAGAATGGGAGTGGTCAAAAGATTCGGGGTGAGTAGTCTGTAGAGGTGAAGGCCATTTAACATTTGGAAGCAGAATAGAAAAGAATAGCCGTGATGCTTTAATAATGTCAGAGCAGATAAACCATTAAGTATATGCTAGAAAGCTTTGTGTGAAAAGTTTAGAGTGTTCTGTTGTATGCTTTAGGCTTCCCCAAGCTGTGGGGGAAACTTCCTTCCCCCATTATGGTGAGAGGGCCATGAAAGTTGACTAATACTTATGTTTTGTTTCCCAGAATGCCTTCCCAGTTTCTGGACAGCTCTATACTGTCCATCTTCTGTCTCTGGAAGCATTGCTGACAGTGATAGATAGCACTGAGGCACATTGCCAGGCCAAAGTGCTGAGTAACATACATCAGCAAGAGAAGGAGGTTGTCAAACCCAGCCCAGAAACCATGAACAGCACCAAAGAAACAAGCAATAGTAAGACCCCTTTCTTTGATATTTTGATATTAAGCTTAGTCTTGTGCTAAACTTGCAGATCTCATTTTGGTAGCTGACGTAGTAAGCTCCTTAAATATGTGTTTTCAGTCTTCCTGTTGCATGTTTTATAACTACACACTGATGTTAATAACCTTGCTATTTGTAAAATTTACAGATATTAAAATGTGCCCCTCATGTGAAGCTTTATATAAAGGCCATGTCAAGACTGGCAGTCACAACAGAAGGAGGGTATGCCGTGGATTCATGTAGGCAAAATACTGAGGATACTGAAGAATTGCAGTTACTGGGGGGAACTCCTTTGAATAAGCACATGTTCAGTTTAGAGTGATCAGTTCATTATTTCTGTTGCTAGCTTTTTCCTTGGCTTATGGGTTTGTTTATGTGTGGAATTTTTTTTTTTTTTAACTTCTACAGATAATGAGAGAGTATTCAGTGAGGGAAAATCTTCCAGTGCAGTCTCAGAGCCAGCTGGGTCATGTCCTCCCACCAGTGGGTGCCTTATGGCTGACCAGATGAAGGAGGGCTGCATGGAGTTGGAAGGAGCAAGTGAGGCAGGTAATAGTCTCCATGGTACCCTGACACTCTGAGTGTGTATATGCTGAGAATGGTCCTGACGCTTGCTGACTGGTCCTGCTATACTATAGACCACTGTAGCTATTGTGTGTTCAAAATTAGAAGGAGATATGTGGTGAATATTTGTTTAGTATATTTGTGCCTATTAACTGTTGCATTTCTTCTGGGAGAGGGTTAGATCTGGTGGGTTACTTTGGGGCAAAAGTGTGTGAAATTCATACCAGTGCTTAGTGTTTTTAAGGTAGTCAGGGGCTCTCCAGGGGATCGGTAATGTAGGTAGTCAAAATAGGCAGAAAGTTAAATCTTGTAGATGTGTGAAATTGTCCAGGACAAGCAGCTACTATGCAATTATGCTGAAGAAAATGTGGGTGGGAGGAAGGTAGTAATTGAATAGTAGGAGTGCGACTGCCATTTGCAGGGCAGCACATTGCAGCAAGACTCCATGACTGAAAGTTAGCATGGGACCCTTTAGTGGGCTGAGTGCTACTCTTGAGAATAAGTTTGACTGTAATGATGCTTTGTCCTTCTAGCTGAGAAGAGTATCCCCAGGAAGCCTACTCGATTTTCTTGTATCCTTCCAAGCCCTCAGGAACTTATGCAGATTAAGAACAAAAAGAAGGTATGATTTGGAATATACTACAAATGGATCTTAGAGTGTTCTCCTTGTTTCCCATCCCATGTGAGCTTTGCATGACTGGTCATATCTCGGAAATTTTGAGTTCTAGTCTCTGCTGATAAGAATTAAATAGTCACTGAAAGTCCTGCTACACTGCAGAGACAGCAGTGATGATTATCTGTTCTGGTTTAGTTGTGCTAAATGTTGCAAGAGGTGTTGGGGAAATTTTGTGGCACAATTTGTAAGCTAGGTCCGTCCATCTGATTTCTGGTTTGGAAAGCTGCTGGATCTAGTTTGCGTTATATGGAGATAATAAAGTACTTCCATCAAAAAGGGCAGGTTCCCTACTCTTTTCAAAGCTGTAAATGGGGAGTGTACCAAGAGGCCCGTAGTAGCAATTACGAATCGAGCTTGCTATTCTGATTTGTTTATTCCCATCTTTGCTTTATCATAAGGATGACTGAAAAGATTGTCTTGATTGTGGAAAAGCCATTCTTTGTCTAGATGTCTGTTTCTTTGAACCTCATTAGTCCAAGTTATAGTCTAAACTTTGTACAGCTGTTCCATTCCCTGAGTGGTTCCAGTCTAGGTCTAGTGTTGACAAAGGTGCTCCATGCTGGTGGCTGTGTATTTATCTGCTGTCTCGTGTCAAACGTCAAGTACTGGCCTGCTCGTTCACCTCCACAGACAGCAGATGAATATGATATCTAAAGTTCCTGTGGGTTATATGAGAGAGGTTTTTTTGGTTGTGTGGTTGGTTTTTTTTTTCATTCACAGATGTTCTTTGTACAGATGTTATTCTCTTTGCACAACATATACCTGAGATGGTTAGGTTATTTAGGATGTGAGAGATTACTAAATTTCAATATGAAAATGACACATATTCTGGATGAAACATGAGTGGCCATAGCAGTTGTGGGGTAAGGAGCCAGATGATACAGTGGAAAAAGAAATCAATGTCTTTGAATGATTCATTGGTGGTAAAGAGAAAGGTTTTTGATTTGTACCTGACTAAAAGGCTTCAGACTTCTCTCTCTAGCATAGGTGTTTTTATTTTACATTATTTTAAGGGAGTGGTGGTCATATTTGTTTAAACTTACTTAAACAAAAATACTGAAGAAAGTACAACAGATCTTTCTGCTGCCATACTAATCTGTGCTTTGTGATCTGCTCTGGCAGTCTCTGGATCTGAATGTAATTTAATGCATTGGTTTCTCTCTAGGAAGCCTGCTGCAGTACTTAGGAACTTGGTTCTTCATCTACAACAGAGTGCTGAAGTGGGATAATGCTAACTGGCTTCCCAAGCCACAGGGACAGTGGGGGGAAGTGATCGTCAGCACAGTCTTTGAAGGAACCACCGAGTTTTGGCATTAGCTAATTTCTAAGAAATGAATATTGGTTTAGTTACTGTTTCATTTGTAACCCTTTTGCTTTGCACTAAATCTAGCTTTCATGGCAGCTTTGCTGATAGACTTTGTGTGAAAGTGCATTGTTGAGAAGGGAGCTTGCATAGTGCTTCCACTCTTCTAACTAAAAACCTCTAATAATACTCCAGCTTTACTGTGCTGGAGAGCAAGGTTAGAAGAAATCACGAACATTGTCAGTGGCTGAGAGTTCCTTAAAGTTCCATGTGGTCCTAGAAAAAGGGCGGTGCCTTACGCTACAGCAGAGGGCAGAAAAGTGTTCATCAATCTCTGTTAGTTTGCCTAGCGAAAATCCTTTCCTGACCCTAAATCTGCTAATGGTTTCATCCTGAGCATGTAAACAGGGCACACAAAACATTCAGCTTAAGTAATGTTGATGCTGACCTGGACCAGCATGTTTTGCTTCCTTTAACCTCTGAAGTACCAAACATTACTACAGCTGGAAGGAGGAAAAAACCTAAATAAAAGCAGAAAACAAATTATGCATCAAATGGAAAGTTTTCTTTGATATTTCCAAAGGCAATGACCAGAAGCTCAGAAGCATAGGACTGACATGATTATAAATGCAGTGCAAACTGCCAGCAGTCTGGTTTCTTTTCAGGTAGTCTTAAGAAGTATAACCAGTCCACAGAATACCCTAGGGCTTGGGTTACAGGATTTACAGCTGAACAGAAATGCTGCTACCATCATACAGTCCCTTCAGGCCTGTTATACTGGGGCAGCACACGGTTATTATTTTGTTATGCCGTCACTGGGTCCTTGTGTGCTCCATGCTATTGCAGGGTCTGTGTTTCACTGCAATTTGACGATGTTCACACAGGCAGGGGAAGCACAGAACAGAGGGTTGGTGGCTTCTGAGGTACTGAGAAACCCAGGGGAGCTAGTAATCATGATGGTCACGAATTTAGTTCACTAGGTCATCGCTAGCAGTTTGATCGTGATAGGAGCTAACAGGGAACTGACATTTATTCTGGTGCCTTAGTAAAGTTCATACAGTTGTTTGTGCTTTTGGTTTTTCTGAATGCCACCAAGAACATTCAGTTAACCCTTTCTTAGGCGTTTTATTACACTGTGACTGTGGTACAGTCTAGTTTCCTAAAATTAGAATCAAGCAGGGCAGAGTAGTTGACTTTCCTTCAAAACCAAAAATGTACCTGCTCTTCCCAGCCTACAGATAGCCTTGTCATGCTGGAACACCAGATGTTCCTGGGACCATGTCTCACTAGCAGAATGTTTTCTGGTTCTTAGTTTAAGCTTTTGCAGCAATTCTTTCTTGCACCTGCTGAATAAGCGCCAAGGATTCTTGCTGCATGTCTCCTGGCAGTGAAGTAGAGTACGAGAGCCTGGAGCCAGAGGGGACAGAAGAGGTCATGGAGCAGTGCTGCTGTTGTAACTGGGTATAGTTGATTTTGCCACATGTCTGGGGTTCGTCAGAGACCTTCCTCTGCTCTGTTTACATACTAGAGCAGGTGAGGCATTTGGGGTAGCAGAGCTAATTGTTCGGTGAAATGTCAAAGCTTTTCAAAGACAGCAGCTCATGCTTGCTCTGTCCAGTATTATTTGATAGTGAATCCTTGTGATGAATGCAGGTTTTCTGGCCTTGGTTAGCCTTCTTGCTGGATTACACAGTACAATAAACTTGATGATGCTGAGGTTGATCTATTTTCTGCTTTGCTTTTGGTTCAACTGCCAAGAACAATTTAAAGTAAGAAATGCACTTCAAGGTTGTAATTATCAGAATGTCTCCTTCAGCTCCTGATAACTGGCACAGAGCAGTTCAACCAAAAGCCGAAGAAAGGGATACAGTTTCTGCAGGAGAAGAACCTTCTTGCTACCCCCATCAACAACAATGAGGTGGCCAGGTGGCTACGGGAAAATCCTCGCCTGGACAAAAAGATGATTGGGGAATTTGTGAGTGACCGTAAGAACATAGACTTGCTGGAAAGTTTTGTTGGGTGAGTAGCTTTCTGTATCTCTCTAATCAGAAAGGGGCGAAAGTTACGAGTTCAGTGATTAAAAAAAGCAGTAGAATAGTAGTTGCTGGAGGCTTTGGATTTGTATCTCTTGGTTCTCTGTGCACCACCATGCCTTAATTCTATGCATCTCTGGCATATGGTAACACCTTGGATACGTATAATAGTATGATACTCGAGTTTCTTTCAGTAGGACCAGTCTCTGTGAAGACTAGAGAGATGATGAGATACATAATCACCTGTAGGGTTGTTGACTCTCTTTTTCTTGTTTTTTGCCTGTTCATGGTATATTTCTTCTCTCCTCACCCTCCCCTCTTTACTGTCTGTTATCTGTGAAATCTGGTATGCTGAAACAAACAAGATTGTAGGTAGTAAGTGTCTCCTGTCTTTCCCATCCTGTTTCAGTTTCTCAGTGCATTTCATTCTTCTTGCAGGACTTTCAGCTTTCAAGGTTTAAGGCTGGATGAAGCTTTACGACTTTATCTAGAGGCCTTCAGATTACCAGGAGAGGCACCTGTAATCCAGAGACTGTTGGAGGCCTTCACAGAACATTGGAGGGTGTGTACTTGGTGGGCAGAAAGCTCAAAACTGTGTTCTTTCTTGTGCATCTGCTTGCCATGATGGACATGTCAGATCAAACTGCCTATATAAGCTTACTGTGCCCTGCAGGCAGCAGCTGTTTTTTTGTAGGAGACAGTAGTGACCCATAGATTTCCAGGGTGCTTTTTAGAAGCTGGAGCCAGAGCCTGGGGTTTTTGTTTGTCCCAGAGATGATTCAGTACCCTGGGTAGGAAAATGGCTGTCTCGGGTCACTGATATCGCCGTTCCTGTAGGACTAATTTATGCATACATTTGCCTTTCAGAAATCAAATGGGTCGCCATTTGCTAATAGTGATGCCTGCTTTGCCCTGGCCTATGCAGTTATTATGCTGAACACTGACCAGCACAACCATAATGTCCGCAAGCAGAACGTCCCAATGACTCTGGAGGTGGGTGTTACCAGCGTAGGCACCTGTCTTCTCTGGTTTTGATAGCACTGTAGTACCTGTTTTTATCTCAATGGCATTCTCTTTTTTTCCCTGGCATTCATCACTCCTGTACACAATAAGCTGGTGTGCAGCACTGACGTTGAGTACAGTTGGAGAGGGGAGCTGTGGGCAAGGGGCGGTCTGAAGAAATATGACCTTAGCAGATAACTTGCCAAGTTCATCAGGAGGCTTGTTGTGTGTGTGAGCAAACTGTATCCTAAGACATAGTAAGAATGAGAAGATTGTTGAACTGCTGTGGGCTTCTAGAGAGTTCAAGTCCTGTGAGTGTCAATGCAGTGGTACAGACCTGTCATTCTGATGTCCAGCGTCAGCTAAGCATGTGTTATGTTGTGTTTCTGTTCTTTTCTTGTGAACAGAGACAGGGGTTCCTGCACACTACTGCCACTAAGAATGGCATTTAGTCTTTGAGGCTGCATGTTGAAGAACACAGGAAAATGTCCTTCTGGTCCCATGAAAAACAAGCGGAGTACTGATCCTAGCCAAGCAGTTAAAGCTGAAGATGGTAGGAATTAACATTGGTGTAACTTTTTTCAGGAGTTTCGGAAGAACCTGAAAGGTGTGAATGGAGGCAAAGACTTTGAACAGGACATATTGGAAGACATGTACCATGCCATCAAGTAAGAATCAACCTGTCATCTCCTTGTATGCAGACAGCAAGCTAGAGTTGTTTGGTCTGTGAGACTTCTGGAGAGTATGGAGAGAGACTCACTGATCATGTGCCTGTTTGCCTCAGACTGACTTTCAGCTCCATGTGGGGCTGTGGTAACAAGCCTGTCACAGTGATTGTACTGGATTTGTATCTTTGGATTCTTGCCATGGTATTTTAATCCACAGAGCTTAAGCTAAAGTTAAAAAAATGCGTTACTTCTATCAACGTGCAGAAGAAAAGCTGAGCAAGACCAGCACATGTGAAATGCTGTATCTAAGAAGGCTCTGTTCTCCAGACCAGACCTTTAGACTTCTTTAGAACTTTTTATGTAGCACTAGAGATAGTATCTCATCCCCAGGACAGCACTGGTGCCCTGACATAACATGTCCAGGTCTCAGTTTCGTATGTTCTACTTTTGAGCTCTTCATATGAGGCTGCTGCCTCAATCTCTTCTGCCACCCCTGAAGCTCTTGGCACACTGACCAGTATTTGAGGAGAATTCCTGGTGGCTGAGGCCCTTTTGTGCACCGACAAGCTCTGGGCGGGGAGCTTTAATAACAGCTCGGAAATCTAGCCTGTCAGTAAATCCAGGCCCAGCCAATTTGAAGCTGAGAGGATTCCATCTCTGAGGAGGCAGGATGCAACTCTGACTCTCAGCTGGTTTCAATCTGCAGTAGCAGGCAGTGGCTTGGGCTGGAAGCTGGGCAGTACTATTAGGCTGACCCTCCCTTTTGAGCCTTCTCCAGGAAGGTGGGGATGGTGCTGAGTATCTAGAAATTCTTCAAGAGAGAGCTCTAGCTGTCAAATAGAGCTCTAGTTTTGATTGGCCTCTCTCCCCTGAGGGCGTTCTTAATGTTTTGAGTAGTACCCTGAGAATATTGTCATATCTTTCAGTTATCTAGTGCCTCTATCCTAGTCTATTCCCAATTATCCTCCCTTCACCAGATACTTCAGCTTTTTCAGTATATTCTATGGCTAAAAAAATTGGTGTATCATTTCAGTATTGCTCCATCTCAGATAGATTGCCTCAGTGTCATAGTTGAGATTGAGGAACTGTTTGTTTTCTTTGTATTATTAGGGGAAAAAAAAAATCAGACTGTAATCTGTAGAGAGTAGTGCATGATCTCTTCAGGATCTCAGCATTTCACTTTTGAGCACAATTGCATTTCCTGAGACTTTCCAAGTAAACCTATTCACTTGCCTCTGTTAATATTAATCAAATATGTGTTCTTAGAAAAAATACACTGTTGACTGTAAATATATTTTCCTATATAATCTCAGTAATGATTGCTCTTGTCAAAATATGCAGGCACTTGAAACTGAGAAGAGCTTATTTCTTATGCATAAATCAAGAAGGTCTTTTATAGTTGTTGTTAGCACATGAAAATTGCTTCTTTGGTAACTGAAGCACGTAATTTTTTGATTGTTGCAGAAAGACCTCTACTTCTCAGATTGGCTGCAATCTACTATTAGTAGACCCTTGCAGAGGGTTATCTGTTGTGCAATGTTACCCAAGTCTAGGGAGTATGTATTTAGGCTTGATATATTTTAACCTGGGATTGCAAGTACTACTTGGCATTAATCATAATTGTTTTATTATTGTATGGCTTTGATCCAGTTAGAGTAAGGAGCTGTGGTACCCTAGTTATGAATCACCCATCATACATTTGGCTTCTTGTTTTATCTTTAATTTTGTACTACTTGGCTTTCTGATATTTGATTTTAGCATAGTACGAATATTTGCATTATTCTTATACAAAGGTACTCATGCCTACTGTTGACTGCAGTGGTATAACGATTTAATTTTTTTTATCTGGGAGTAATGAGATACGCAGAGCACTCTAATGGGGTGGGAGTTGGGATGGGGGGGTGAAAGTATGCCAATGTGCTGTCCAAAATTTCCCATAATTCAACTGCAGTATGTGTTGCGTTTTGCACTTGTAGTGTTAGGTAGCTGCTTCTTCAATGCCATCCTTACGCAGTTGCTGCTGGGTGCTGCTCAGAGCCACCAGACTTTATATCCAGGATACCAAAGACGGGCAGGGGAAGCAGGCAGACCTAGGAAAATAGAACGTTTCAGGAGTTGGCAAAATCACTCCACTTAGCTTTGGGACCGTGTAATGAAAGGCAATGTGTAAATGTTAGGTTTGGCTCAGAATGAAAAATTCAACCTTTCTGCCTTCCTCCCTTTTAGAAATGATGAGATAGTGATGCCAGAAGAACAGACGGGCCTGGTGAAGGAAAACTATATCTGGAATGTCCTGCTACATCGTGGTGCCACTGATGAGGGAATATTTCTCCATGTGCCTCCCGGAAGCTATGACCATGATCTCTTCACCATGACATGGGGGCCAACCATTGCGGCACTTTCTTATGTTTTTGACAAGAGCTTGGAAGAAACAATCATCCAGAAGGCTATCTCTGGTTTCAGGTAACTCTTGCATTCATGAAGACCCAGAAGAGTTAGTGTGGCCATTGTCTCCTGTTTACCTGCTAGAGACATCACAGTGAATATCAACTGTTACTTTTCCTAGTAATTGAAGAGCATTTTATTGTGACTTATGGTCCTCTAGTTTTGTTCTGTCATTCATATTGATTCATCCCATCTTGGCCTCTCCTGGTTGCCCCTCACTATTTGGCTTGACTGCTGTGTTGTAATAAATCAAAGTGCCTGCAGTATGTATTTTTAAACTCCAACCTGGTTACATTTAAAAGACCTGCTGACATAGCTGTGCTGCTTAGAAGTGAAGAAGTCACTCTTAACTTGCACAGTGATGCTGGCAAAATCCCTGTATATGAACAAAACCTCTAGTGCATGAGGCCATAGCTGTGACTAAAAGGGATGGGGTTTTTTGGGTTTTTTTGGTTTTTTTTTTCCTTTTTTTCTTTCCCAGATGACCAGTATTCAAAAAAAAACTTGCTATCTGTGAGAAACTGTATTGGAACAATATTGGGTCATGCTTAGATCCAGACCAAATGATGCCTTAAGCATAGTTTTAAAGCTCTGTTAATATACTGCTGTAGCCATGATCTCTTGGAAACTAGACCTTCAACACTACTGCCAATCTCAGCAACTCTCTCCTATGTCAAGACAGGAGATTAGGTATATTGGCTCAGGTGCAAGTGGTCTGTCTCTTTAGACTCGCTTCTTGAAAGTGATCATTGCATCAGCACAGAGAAATATCAGGATCTATGGATGAGGACTGAGATTATTTGAGGGATAATAGTAGACTTCTGTACATCAGCATTCGTTATGAGTGGGTGGAGAGGAAGGTCTAAAATGTCAACAGAGAGGCTCTCTGATTTGCTGTCCTGTAGACAGACTTGTCTGTGCTGGCTTACTACATTATTTTCTGTTTTTCTTCTTTCCCCAGGAAATGTGCAATGATTTCTGCTCACTATGGCCTTAGTGATGTGTTTGACAATCTCATAATTTCTCTCTGCAAGTTTACAGCCCTCAGCAGCGAGGTAAGTTGGCAAGGAGGGGAAAGAAGCATGGCTTTTAGTATATTGGAGCTCTCTTCCTCTGTTAAGCAGTAATATTTGCTTATTTTAGTTATCACAGTATCTGTAGATATCTGTGAGCTCCTGCCCAGAGTTTTCTGGAGGAGGCAATGAAAAATGTGTAGCGAAGTAGGACTTCCACAGGACAGGTTCAAATATGCAAATTTCCTTCTACTCTCTCACAAGTGGCAGTTTGTGCAGAGCAGAATGCCATAATGTAGAAGTGTTTGTTCCACCTACTTGATCTGAGCAGACTTAGATCTCCCTGTGATCAAGACAGTGATCATCTATGATCCCAAGCAAGTTTATGCATTTCAGCTATTGAATATTTAGTTATAGGGTTTATGCGGTGCCAAGAGGGACTGTTGTGTGAGCTGTTCTTCCAAAATGTAGGAGCTGTGCATCCACCCAGCATAAAGGGGTTAGAAAAAACAAATGCTTTGAATTGTCAGTTGGCATGTGGAGTCTGGTAATAAGGTCGGCTGTTAGCCCCACTTTTGGCAAGCCCTAAAGACCGTTTCTGTGGATTGTACTGTGAGAATAAATTCAAGGTACAGTGGTTGGTGTAAGCTTCCCCCCCTCCCCCCCCAATCTGTGTGTGTATTACAGCATCAGCCTGATTTACCCCAGGGTGTTTGATAGACAGTGTGTGGCAGACCATGCTTTGTACTAAGGAGAAAATGACAGCAACTCCTTTAAAGGGTCAGAACTCATAAAGAATCTCACAGCATTGCTCTGAGAACCAGTGCAAGGCCCACAGTGAGCAGAACAGAATTGCCACCCATACAAAAAAGGGAAACAAGACCATTCAAGACTGAAAGCATAGGAGTAAAAAGGCCAAGACAGGTGATTTTTTTAAATCCCCTTAAGGGACAGCAGAAGGGGAACAGTCCTGCAAATTAATCCAATTAATGGAGTTAGGCTGCAGGGAAATGGAATTTTTTGGACTGGGTGTTTTGTATCACTTGCATTCTGGCATTGGTAGCAGTGAAAAAGTACCAGGTTGACTATTAAAAGACAAAGAAATCCCTAGCGGTGGGGTTGTTTCAGATTCCCTCTTCCTCCACAGCTCACAACAGTAAAGATGAAATACTTGATCCTCTCCAGGCATACCAGACCTCGAGACTACCAATAGATAACACAAGCAGAGGAATGTCTGCCATGAAACAACTGTTTGACACAGATTTACATGGTAGAAGCAACTAGACTAAGCCCTCGGAGGCACCAGCTATTGCCAGCTGCATCCCATCTAGTTGTGAGACTGGAATCTGGAGCAGTCTGAGGTCTGTGTAAATTAAGCAAGCATGTCTTTTGGTGATGACATAGAATCAGGGACTTCTGGATTCGAAGAAGGCTGTGAGTTCTTATCTTTGGCCAGATTCCAAGTACACCAATTACTTTCTGCTGTCCTAAATTCCTGTAAGGCTTGGAGATAGTAGTGGAATATGACAACTGAACAAATATTTGAGAGACAGTCTGGTGGAAGGGGAGAAGGAGGGGCTGTCTTCAGGGGCCGAGGAGGCAAAACAAAGAGCAACTGTTAGAAAGCAAGGGAAAAACATGAAAGTGTCACTTAGCTGCTAGTCACTTCCCAGGTTAGATCATGCTGGTGATCAGGCATCCTCTCCAAGCACTGCAATTGCTATGCATGGCCACTTTGGTTGAAAGAAGAGGAATGGGAAGGAACATGGAGGGGGATTAAGTGATTTAAGAAGAGCGAGTGCCCCACTTCTTGATCCACAGTTAAGACTCATACTGACTCAGTGTATAAGTAGTAGCAAAACCCCTGTGTGTTTTAATTCTGTGGTTGTGGCTTGTTGCCGCAGTGCAAAACCAGGCATATTGCTGTTCGCACTCTGAGACTTCAGTGATGTATGTATTCATGTGGTTTCCCCAAAGCAACAATGGAAAAAAAAAAATTGGTTGTCACATTTCTGCCAGACTTCCAGATTGGCACTTCTAATGGAGTTCATCTCTAGATCAAAGACCCGTTTTGGTAATAGTTTTGCCAGTAGTCTGGCTGAAGCAAGAGCTAGTTTTTCTGAATTTCAGGTCTGAGATTGGAAGAGCCACATTCTCAATCCATCCTACCTCCTGTCTTCTCTCTCCTTTCTTGATGAAGGAATAAGTATGGGTTTTGTCCACATAAGCAAGGGAATGGCAAAACCCATCTCTTGTCAAAAAGAACATTGCAATGAGCTTAAGTAACTGCAGAAACATGGAGCACGTTAGTGTCTGATACTAGCTCACATGGTTGCTGGGTTTTTTCTTGCTTTGGCAGCACATACGTGATTGGTTTAAATGACTTAGCACACTTTTTGTATTTTGAAAAGCAGTGAGTACGTTGAACAGATTATGCGGAATTGTGATCCAGCAATTATTGGCAGAGACTGTATGTCAGGGTTCATCACTCTTACTTTGAATCTTGCTGTTAAGTAGTGGTAGGAGTAGCTTTGCAAGTCAGTAATGCTTTTGGCCACAATTTCCTTCTCTAACAGTAGAGCCGAGTAATTGCTGCTTCCAGAGGAGATGTAGTAGTTTTTATAGAAGGTTTTGATCCTGGAATGAGTTCCCATAGCAGAATAAATTAGTGTTAGTGAGTTTTCAGCAAGCACTTTCAAAATGTCCTGTATTGTTGTCATTCTTGGAGAGCTTATGTCTAGGTGGTTCAGTGATTCATCTTGTATCAGGTAAGCTGTCTTGTCCTTGTTTTTGTGCGAAGTGAATATGAGCTGAGGAGTTATCCAAGCATCATACACAGAACTGTTGTCTTTCCCATAACCAGTTCTGAACAGTCTGCCCTAATTTGTGTTGAAAAGAAAACATCTCTTGCTGACTGATTGCCACCCCCTCTTCTTTCCTGCAGTCTATTGAGAACCTGCCCACTGTTTTTGGAAGTAATCCCAAGGCCCATATTGCAGCAAAGACTGTGTTTCACTTGGCCCATCGCCATGGTGACATTCTGCGGGAGGGCTGGAAAAACATCATGGAGGCCATGCTACAGCTTTTCCGAGCAGAGCTGCTGCCCAAGGCCATGGTGGAGGTAATAATAGCCAGCCCACGGGTAATTGAAGAGTAGGCAAGTGGGAAGCTGGCTTTTCATAGAAGCAGTTCAAAGAGGAGAGCTCTCTTGCAAAGGCCTGGCTTTGGTAAAGTGTGTACGGAGCTGGAAAGCCTGCAAAGGGTGTAGTGTATGATTTTTTTTTTTCTCATTTTACTTTTGTTGTATTTGAGAAATTCCAGCATTCATTTTACTTGAACAGATTTTGAATATTGTGCAGAAGGAGGACATGCTTATAGGCATGAAGTATTAGAGCACAGCGTTGGTATTGCCAGATGGGGGTGACACTTTACTGAAGGGGTGAGGGGGTGAAGAGCTGGCGTTGACTGTCTACACATGGGCAGTTGGGTGTAGCATTTCATCACTAAGTGAAACATTACAGGGTTGGGGAGGAAGGCTACAAAGAAGCAGACAATTGATCATATACATGTTCTGGTGTGTCTTCCAGGTCGAAGACTTTGTGGATCCTAATGGCAAAATCTATCTGCAACGTGAGGAGACACCATCTAACCGGTGCGTGGTGTCAATAGGCCAGTCCTTTTTGTACCAAAGCTGGAGAATAATATGATTTCTTGTTTTCTCACTGATGCTGGTGTCTTCTGATTTGCAGTGGTGAATCTACAGTGCTGAGTTTTGTTAGTTGGCTCACCCTCAGTGGGACAGAGCAATCTGGTATGAGAGGGCCATCTACAGAGACACAGGAGGCAAAGCGAACGTCTCTGGAATGCATAAAGGTAACATACAGGCTGTAAAAGAAACTGCTTTTGTTTGTGGTGACAGTGCTATGTGGGTAACAGGCAGCAGAAGCATAAATGTGCATGCTTCTAGGCAGTATTGCAGTTCCAGAGAATTTGTGAATTTTAAGAAACTACAGAGGAGCGTAGCTGCATTGACAGCTAAAGGGTCTTATGTGCTGTTATGCACAAATGTAGTAACACATGAAAACAGGAATGATTCCCCACAAGAGGCTGGGATCTGCCCTTGGCATCACAGTCCTATAATTGAAGACAAATTAATAAATTCTCAAATGACTAGTCTTTCCAAGACAGTGTTAGGCGCATGGTGCCAACAAAATTTGAACCTGGGGGTTGAGCAGTGTGTGGACAGAGGAGTTATCTGTTAAAACCTGTCTAGCACAGATCAGGTCTGTTAAAGGTAATTGATGTTAAAGGAGTGAACTAGCTGGCAGGAGTGTTCCTCCAGGTAGTTGTGTTAAAGCCACTATCTGTATCTTTCCTGAGAACAAGCTGTGTTTCTAGAGGATCTGCTCGTATGCCTTCCCCATCCCCCAGATGCACAGTGCTCTTTTCTGTCTTTTGCAGCAATGTGATCCTGAGAAGTTGATCACAGAAAGCAAATTCCTCCAACTTGAATCCCTCCAGGAGCTCATGAAGGTGAGAGAGATATAGGGAAAGGGATTGGACTGGTGATGGAACAAGTATGCCATGCATGATCATGGATATGTGCTGTGTACTAACCTAGCTCCTCTGTCCCCAGAGGAGGTCTTGGACCTATTTGGGATATGAAACCAGTCATTAGTTCAGCTGTTACATGTAACTTTTGTGCTGGCAGCCACAATTGCTTTAGTAGTAGATGAAGACATTAAATTGTGGAATGCATTCTAAAAGCCTTGAGGAGGTCACAGTAAGTGTTTGAAAATATGTGTAGCTCTGTGTAGGAGCTTAAGGCTATGCTTTTTCATCTTTTCTGGTGTGCTGTGTGCCTAATGAGGACATCCTAAAAGGCCACTTTAGAGGCAAGAGCTGTACAGAAATATTTGACTGCATGCCCCTAGGTAGTATGGTACCTGGCTGCTGTGGGAGATATAAGGCTGGACTCACTAGCCTTTGAGCTAGAGAAGCTCTTCTCCCTGGGGGAGGGTAGTTACTCACCTGGTTCTGGTAGTGGCTTCTAAGGCTAGTGTGGAGTTTGAGACCACTCCAGGATGTGGAACGAATCCGGCTGCTGCTCACCATTTCCAAAAGAAAATAGTGCAGTGCAACCCTTGCAGGGATGCTGTGTGGGCTGGCAGTGTGTGTTGCCTAATTCCATGGCTCCTTAAAGTGTAAGTGCCTTTCCCTTCAGGCTGCTGTAATTGCAATTCACTGGCTTCATCAATAGGGCACATGACCCTATGGAGACTTGTGCTAAAACAAAGGAAAGATTTACTTATCAAGGCTTGCTGCAGAGGTTCAGAGGAATAGGTATTGGGTTTCAAAATAAAGATGTTAAGTGAGTAAACCCCAAAGAACAATACTTAAAAACAGCTAAAGCAGAACTTGCTGTTTGGATCCCACAAAGACCACTATGTTGCTCTCCCACATGGAGACGTGGTGACTCAGTTTTTTTGTGCCCTCTCAGTTCCAGAGGAACATTTTGCTCTTATCCCTATTATGTCAGGAATTCTGCCTTCATATGCAAGCTGATGGCTTGAGAGGAATAGCTCCAGTATTTGTAGTCATTCCTAGGTATGTCTGCCTTTTCTATGCTTCACAAATTCTTAGGAAGAAGCTGCTGTCTTTCAGAATTCCTCTCCATCTGAGAGACTTAGTCAGTTTAACATCTTTTAAGTTCATATTGCATCTTGCATAATTAAAAAAATATAATTTTCCATATATTTAGCTTGATCTCTATCCAGTGCATTTTTGATAGACTATGCATGACCTCACCAGACAGTAGTGTGCAGTTTTGCCCAGACTCAAAGCATTCTGTTGGTCCTCACTTGTTGGTCCCCCAGTTTTAGGGGCTTGTGATTCACAAACATTTCCTGGCTTTTCTAGGCTCTAATCTCTGTGACTCCTGATGAGGAGACATATGATGAAGAGGATGCTGCCTTCTGCTTGGAGATGCTTCTGAGAATTGTGCTAGAGAATAGGTATGACCTTGAAATACATGCAGATTCACTGTAAATGTTCCTGCTTTACTGCAGCTGCTGCCTGGGTCCAGGGAATGAGTTCCTTATGTGCTTGATTTGCCAGCTGAAGCAGCATGTGGCTGTAATTTCAGGGCTTAGCAATTCTGTTCTAGCATGTGCAAACAGAGGGGCTATTCGCCCATGAATTATTGCTTGATATACTGAGATCTGGAGAACATAAACTAAACTCTGGAGGGAGAATTATCCCATCTGATTGCTTTGCAAGTAATGAAGTAAATAAGAAATTTGACGGCTTTGTTGTTTCTATGTGTCTGTCCTTATATCTCCCGGCTGGAGTTTTTCATTGAAATGAAGAAATACCGGGTTGTCTGGAATTCTGGGAGGGGTAGCTGGATCCCGCTTGTCTCATCTCCTTTCATCCTACCCTTTCCCTCCTCCTTGTTGTGGCTAGGGACCGTGTGACCTGTGTCTGGCAAACTGTCCGAGACCACCTCTATCATCTCTGTGTCCATGCGATGGAGTTCTGCTTCTTGGTGGAGAGGGCAGTGGTGGGGCTGCTGAGACTGGCAATTCGGCTCCTTCGTCGGGAAGAAATCAGCACGCAGGTAAGGGATTTTTGAAAGTCAGTTACTGAGGTTTTGTGGCTACACCTGGCAACACAATTGCTGTTGGATGGACCCACTTTTAACATGTCTGTACTGCAGGTAACAACAAACAGCAGTTGTAAGTAGCTCTAAATAAATGAAGGGGAACTTTGCTAGAGAATGGAGTGTAAATAATAGGGTCTGTTATTCTTTTCTCCTTCTCTGGCCAGGTTCTCCTCTCGTTACGTATCCTGCTCATGATGAAGCCAAATGTGCTGTCCAGAGTTAGCCATGAGGTTGCCTACGGTCTCCATGAACTCCTGAAGACCAATGCTGCCAACATTCACTCCGGGGATGACTGGTACACGCTCTTCACCCTCCTGGAGTGTATTGGGTCTGGGGTGAAGCCGCCTGCAGCCCTGCAGGTTACAGCAAGGGCAGATAACGACACAGGTAAGACAGGCCAGCTTTTGCTAGGAAATCTGATGCCTGCCTGCCAGATAAGCAGCTGCTTCCTCAAGCTTTTCAATTAGCAAAGGGGATTGCAAGAAAACAAAGCTGATATTAAACTACATTAGCAAGATTAAAGACCAGCACCTGCTGTTCACTCCTACCCCATGGTCTGTCCCTGTCTCTACTCTGCCATCTCTTCCTACTCAGTGAGCAGCAGTCCAGGTGCTAGTCCCTGGGGGAGCAGTGGGAGGAAAACTGATATCAGTTGTAGCAGCTGTAGAAGGTTTTTGCTCTACCCAAGGAGCGTTTTCTGCTGGTTGTGGTCTGGTGCCTTGGGTAATATAGCCTTTATCTCTCATCTGAGTGTGTAATGTAAACCCAGCTGTTGTTCCTGTCATACTTGCTTCTTTTGTGGGACTGACTCCTTTCTGTCCCCATTTTAAGGATCTTGTAAAGGGAGTTGTTCTTTAAAAGTCTATTTCCAAATTTCTATTTCCATTTGTGTTCAGAGTGCCTGAACTATTTCCACAAGACCAGCCCACTATTTCCCACTGCTCTTGACTGTGTTAGAAAGACAGTCTTTTCAGCAAACTGTTCCTGTTTCGCTTTAGCCAGCTGGCAATGTATTTGAGGCTGACAGCTTCAGACTTTTAAAGCAAACAGCAAGAAAAGGCTTTTCCAGAAGCCTTCGTTTTCCTCTTTGCTTTTCTAGAACTTCCTCGCTAGGTCCTGATGCTTTGTGCTAGACAGATGGAAGAACTCTGATTTTGCAAAACCCTTACGGCCTTTGCTTTCTGGGTTAATGCTGGGCTGCCTTCTCCCATCTTCCCCCTGCCCCACACTTCTGTCTTTGCTGATTGAGCAAACTGCTTGACTGTGGCACCTTGCATATCAGAACATTAATTCTCTTTACCTCCTGAAAATGTTTGGTGCACTGTGTTCACAGCAAGTCTGTCTCTCTGCTGGTGAGTCTCTAGATAATGTTGAATGATGGGGAGAATGAATTTTTGCTTCTAAATAACATTATATCAATGGCTTAAATTTGGCCCTTGCAAAGATTTCTGTGCTTGGGACATGTGAAATTTAAGGTTATCCTAAAGGTCAGGGAGGGTAGATCTGACAGGTGTGGAACATGCTAATGTAGATTGCTGTTCATGAGAAAGACTTTACCAGTATTAGTGTGGAGCTGAGTGACCCCAGAGGCCCTGCGTGAGTCATGTCATTTCATGTTATGCTTTTTGCGTTGTCTTGGCTGAACCTAGTACCTCCAGTAGTTCTTAAAGTGCGTGGTACATCTGATTCTTCCCTCAGGGTCAAAGCATTGGACTTCCTGCCGTTTTTAAATCCACGGTCAGGCTGACAAGTGACATAGCAGAGGATGGAAAGCCCCTTCCCTCTGAAGGGGAAATCCAAATATACCTACAGGGGAGAAACAGTGTCAAAGATCTGTCTTTCCTGCTGTCTCCTGTGCATGCTCCTGTCATAGCTGTTCTTCATTTCACAGGAGGAGGGGCTTGGCCCAGCTTCTTCCAAGGCCCACTGGTTGTTTCTAGCAGCTGATGCTGATCTGACTAATCTGGATTAGCTACTCTTCCAAGTTCTTGATTTGGCTTTGATCTAAACCTCATGCCTTTTGTCTTGAAGGTGCTCAGTCAGACAGCGAAGTCTCCTCTTCCTATCATCCAAGTGACATGAGCCTGGACCGTGGCTACACCTCTGATTCAGAGGTATACACAGACCACGGGAAGCCAGGCAAGATGCATCGCTCGGTGACAGATGTGGATGTCATGAACAGTGGCTGGCTAGTGGTGAGTAGCCAATGGGCTTCTGGTGTCTGAAGAAGACTACTCCTAGCATGGTTGTGGGCAGAGGGTGTGGTAGGGAGAGAAAGAATAAGACAGTAGAAAAGAGAGCTAAGGTGAGCTGACAGTGTAAAGGGAGGATGGGGAGGAGATGCAGATGGAAAGGAGAAAGCTTGGAGGCAAATGAGGAAGAAAGGGAAATGAATCCTACAGAAACATTACCTGTTGGCTTCAGAAGAAAAGCCCTTTTAGCATGTGCATGAGGTGCTGCTTGTTATGCTACCCTCTCCTGCTACCCTCTTGCTGTGCCCTACAGGTGGGGAAAGATGACATCGACACCTCTAGATCCACTGCTGGGCTCAGCAGGCTGGGGCCATCTCCTCTTGTCAACCAGTACAGCCTGACTGTGGGGTTGGATTTGGGCCCACATGACACAAAGTCTCTCATGAAGTGCGTGGAGTCCCTGTCCTTCATCGTGCGAGATGCTGCCCACGTTACACCTGAGAACTTCGAGCTCTGTGTCAAAACCATCCGCATCTTTGTGGAGGCGAGCTTGAATGGGGGTAAGATAGCCCTTGGTTTGGCAATCAGGATTGGGCTTGGGGTGGCCAGTCAGCAAGAAGTGTGAAGTATACTGTTAAGGAACGAGTCCCCAACCCCCAGAAAATGGTCTGCTGTGAGAAACGTGTCCTGGCTCCTGCTGGTAGCAGGGACCTTATTCTTATCCCTGTCTCTGGGATGGAGAGGAGGCCTGAAGCTGATGTGGAGCTAGCACTATCAGCTGTTGCTGAAGGCTGTTCCTGAGGGGTGCTGGGTACCTCTTCATGCGGGTAGTTGTCATTTCACAGGACAGGGCCCTCCACTGGGGGTATCGAAAGGTGGCCGCTGTGTGTGTTGAAAGGCAGAAAGTTTTGTGGTGGAGCGTGTATATGGTATGTTGCTGCCTTTTACTTTCTAGGCTACAAGTCCCAGGAGAAGAGGGGGAAGAGCCACAGGTATGACAGTAAATCCAGTCGGTTAAAAAAAAAGCCAAAGGAGAGTTCCACACGGCGATCACGGGTCTTGAGCCAGCACCAGGCTCACACACACAGTGATGAGGACGAGGATGAGAGCATCCCTGCCAGTTACCACACTGTGTCTTTACAGGTTAGTCAGGACGTAAGTATAGCAAGGATTTCCTCCTCTCCTTTCCCATACACAGGGCCTTGCTAGGGAGTCACTGGGATTCTTCATGGGGTGAGGGAGGGCTGCATCCTGGGTTAGTGCACACTGGATGGCTGAGGGTGGCTGTGGTGGCACTGTGTGGTTCTGCAGTGAAAGAGGAAGGCTGCAGTTTGGACAGGAAAAAGCTGAATAGCAGTGGAGAGAAGTCCTCTGAAAAGCAAGGAGGGTGGGGTCTGGAGCTGTGAGTCACTATAGTAGGTAAGACGGATGTGGATCAAGGGCATTTGGGGGCATGAGGTTCATGTACGATTAGTGGGGAGTCTGACGGGGCATCTGAGCTTGTGGAGAGGGGAAAGCCCTGTGGGCTGAGGCACTGGGATTTCAAGCACAGAGGACTGGGATGAGGGAGTCATTTCTCTCTCCAGCTAGTGCTTCAAAGGTATGAAGGCACAGGCCTGCTGACTGCCAGGCTGTTGGGCCTCACTTCAGTAGTAAAGTGACTAAAATGCTGTCATTTTCCCATACAGAGCTGTTCTGAGGGAGCTTAGCTTGTGCTTCATGCTTGCTTGCTTGTTTGTTTGTTTGTTTGTTTTTAAAAAAAAAAAAAAAAAGTTGCAGAGAGTTGTCCCTGGACAGCATAGCTGAATCCCTGGGTTTCTCCCTCTGCCTGGGAGAGTCAATGCTGTGTGCCAGGAAAGGCTCCATTCTTTCTCCTGGCACGATTGGGATGCTGTTCCTTGAAGATGGGATTGACAGGGCTACTGAACTGACACAAATCTTGAAGATGCCTGGCACTTGACCGCTTAGGGAGAGCAGAGGCAGCTGGGCCTGACACCAACTTCATAGCTGTACGTGGTTATGTACATACAGGAAGCCTGCTTGAGTAGCTGTGAGCCTTTTAGTATTGGTTTGGGGAAGAGCAGAGACCGGGGTTGCTTCAAAAATGTAAGTCCTGTGTGTTGCTTAATGTGATGCTTGGCTTGCAGCTCCTGGACCTCATGCACACCTTGCACACACGAGCGGCCACCATCTACAGCTCCTGGGCAGAGGAGCAACGCCATCTAGAGACAGCAGGGAGGAAAATCGAAGCAGATTCCCGAACACTGTGGTCCAACTGCTGGTGTCCTTTGCTACAGGGTAAAGCCATCCCCTTGTGATAAGAGTGAGCAGAGACACTTCCCAAATAATGCCAGCACTCAGGGAAGTTTTGGAGCCAAGAACTAACCGGAGAAAGCAGGTGGAGGTTGTTTTTAGGGTCTGCTGTAATTGAAAAAGAACTTGGATCAGATCCAGAAAGGTATCTTTAGCCTGAGTTAGCTGCCAGCTTGATTCTGGACCCGACAGTAGATTCCCAGTCTGTGGCCTGGAACAAGTATAATCCTTTTTTTTTTTTTTTTTTTTTTTTTTCCACAGAGAGTGTTTGATCTTCATTAGACTTTTCACCCTAGACTAGGGAACCAGGGATGTGACATTTTCAGTGTGGGCTTTTCCCTGAATCCCTCTCTTGCAGGTATTGCCTGGCTGTGCTGTGATGCCCGACGCCAGGTACGGATGCAGGCACTCACTTACTTGCAGCGGGCCCTCCTGGTACATGACCTGCAGGCCCTGGATGCCCTGGAATGGGAGTCCTGCTTCAACAAGGTAACCTCCTGGCTGGGCTGGGCATGTAGGCACGACAGCATTGTCATGAAGACCAAAGCTGTGTGCAGGAGTGGCAGAATGGTGTCCTACTTCAGCACCACCTTCTTGAGCATCTTGTTCACCAAACAGACAAGGGGTTAACTACTCTGATCCTGTGAAAAGTTCCTCTCTGCTTAGACTTTTGACAGAGCCTTTTGGAGTATTGAAGTGAATCCACTCATTTCCACTTCCCATTGCTTCTCCCATGCTCTCTTCCTAGAAGCCACCAGTCCCAAGAGTCAGCTCCTTCCTGTAAGGCTGTCTATGCAAATCTCATCAGCCATTTTTCAGCTCCGAAATATCAATGTGTCTCATCCAACAGGTGCTGTTCCCTCTGCTAACCAAGCTACTCGAGAATATCAGCCCAGCTGATGTTGGTGGGATGGAAGAAACTAGGATGAGAGCCTCAACACTGCTCTCCAAGGTGAGCATGCTTCTGCTGTGTGAAAGCTCAGGGGAAACCATGTGCCTCAAGAAAACCAAACTGTTTGCTGTATTAGCTTCTCAGCATCTCTGATCTGGATAGATGTCAGTTTGCTAGTTTGTATTCAGTGCTGGGCTTCTCCACCACCTTCTGCTGTTGGGACATGCCTTCTTTCCAGAACTGTCTCCATGATCCTGGCCTTTGGCATAGTTGTCAGGAAGGAGTTTGTGACTTTATGAAGGATGGAGAGAGAAGTATTTCACCTGACATTAGTTGAAGACAGTCTGTTCTAGTGGTGAAATGATGCGTGTCACAAGCTAATAGTACTGACCTAAGGCAGAGAGTCTGGAAGGGCTGGAAGACATGGTTGTGCAGACTGCAGCAGCCTCATGCAAAGAAGACAAGATCCAGTCCTCTGCACGTGCAGCTCAGAAGAGTGGAGGCCTCTGGCGTCCTCAGGCTGGGCCTGTGCATGCTCCTCGCCTGCCACAAGGAGGGGGAATTCCAGATTTGCAAATCTGGCTTGTCAAGCTATGAGCAGCAGCTCTGATACTACTTGTTGACAGTAGTTGTGTGTTTTTTCTAGGTGTTCCTACAGCATCTCTCCCCGCTGCTCTCACTGACCACCTTTGCTGCCCTGTGGCTGACAATCCTGGACTTTATGGACAAATACATGCATGCTGGCTCCAGTGACTTACTGGTAAGATGCTGAAAGTGATGCTGCAGTGCTTTGAACAAGCATTCATCGGTTTTAACCTTCTTAAACTTGAAAGGTGTTTTGGTTTGGGTTTTTTTAACTTTTTAATCCTTCCAAAACTATTTTGTTCCATGATCTCTCCCCTTGGCCTCTGTTTCCAAGGCAGCCCGTCAGCTGTTTGGCGCCTCTGTTCATTGCTATATGTCCATTCTCTGTGTACTGAGGAATGTCTCTGATTACAGCTGGAGGCCATCCCAGAGTCTCTGAAGAATATGCTGCTTGTAATGGATACAGCTGGGATATTCCACAGTGCTGACTCACGGACGGGATACTCAGATCTCTGGGAGATCACCTGGGAGCGGATTGACTGTTTCTTACCTAGGCTGCGGGATGAGCTTTTCAAACAGACAGTCATCCAAGGTATGAGGGGCTGAGAAACCTTAAAAAAACAGGTCTTGGACCCAGTGCTTGCACCTTGTCCAGTACCCAGCTGCCATAGTGCCTGGATGCTGATGAAATGATAGTTGCAGGAGGCTGTGGGAGCTTGGCACAATGAAGGAAAACTGAGGGTGGGCAAAAGGAGTGAGCAAACTGGTGTGTGGGCTCACTGCTTGTTTTATTTTCCTAGATCCTGTCCCCAGCATACCAATGGAGCAGCAGCATCAGAAATCAATAGTGTCTGCCCTGCCCCCTTCTCCTGTGGGGGATGTGAGACCGGCCACCCACCTGGCTCCTTTGGAGAAGCCCTGTGAACTTGGTGCCAGTGGTGAGTCCAGTTTTCTTCTTTCTGGAACCATCTTCCCAGCACAGTGGCGTGGATCTGCTTTTCCCTGGTTTAGCGTGATCTACAGTGGCTAGGCCTCTGGTGTTGTGGAACTGTTGTGCTTCCAAATGGATAGGTTGTGGACTTCTTGCTGAGGATATTGGGGTGGGCAGAGGTTGGGGCAGAATGCCTATGATTTGCACCTGCTCCTCAGGGCCTCGTATGAAGGTATATGGAAGGTGCAAGTCTGAAAAGGCCCCTGAGTTGATCTTCAGCCCTGCGTAGCTTTGAGCTGAAAGATGACTTTGTCAGGGCCTGTGTAAGGATGTATTTTGTCTCTTCCTTTTTCCAGAGTCTGAGAGAGCCACTGCACCTGCCTCACCCACCATCAGCACCTCTGCCTCTCCTTCTTTCCCAGCATCAGCTCCAACAAAGACAAGCCCCGTTACAGACATACCTCCTACGACAGCGCAGCCACCACTCATCTTGCAGCCTCTTGCCTCCCCCCTGCAAGTTGGGGTGCCACCTATGACTCTTCCAATCATTCTCAACCCAGCCCTAATTGAAGCCACCTCTCCTGTTCCCCTCTTAGCTACTCCACGGCCCACTGACCCCATGACAACCTCTGAAGTCAATTAGTTTGAGAGTGTCTGAGAACTGTCTGCTGAGGAAGCTCTGTGGGTGGAGGATGCTGGCCAAATGTTCTCTGGTAGCGGGCATGTTTGTTTTAGAAGATGATGCTAACCTGAGCAGAAGGGCTGCTGCCACAATCCCCCTGGAGCGCATCCCATGCTGCTCTCTTGTGGCAACCACCTAGAAATCCACCTAGAAATCCCTGTCTTCTTGGAGGGGTACCCGGTTCCACCGACCAGTCTCCTTCCTGCCTTCACAATCTCAGGGGCCAGGCAATGCCCGCACCAAGCAGCCTGGGACCAAGCTCCCACCAGTTCATCTGGTGAAGAGGGAAAACTCTTTGATGTCACACCAGAGAGGGGCTGCAGTACAAGACTGCCTCTCAAATTATTCAGTCCAGTCCCTGGACAATTCCCCAGCCATTCCCTAGCTTTCCTGCCCATGCTTCTGGTCGCACTGCTTTGTTTGGGCTCTGGGCTTGAGTGGTTGCTTACAGTGCAGCTCCCAGCTTGCTACATAGGGTTTGTCTGCTGTAGCCACATGCTTTCCTTCTGCAACATGGATCACAGCAGTCCCCATGCCAGATCGGGAGTAGGCAGCAGTCTGGTAGGGGCAGCACTGCTTTCCTCCCTCCTTCTGTAAATGTAATCAGGCTTTCTGGTTGGAGAGGGCAAATTCAGAAGGCTCTGCCTAGTTGAGCAGACAAGAAGGAAATGCAGAGTCCCGTGAGCTGATTGCAGAGCACCATGGCCATCTCTCAAACAGTGCTTGGGGAGCCACTCCCCTGGGGTGCATGGCAGTGCTGCATTGTCCACCACTCGCTACATTGGCCTCTTGGTGTCCAGCCCCATTCCTTAGGAGAACATCCTCTTCAGCTAGAGAAGATGTGGGGATCTGTGGCACCTGCTGACAGATGCCCAGCACGTCTGCTGTGCTTTCTCTTGGAAGCTCTGCAAAGATTGCACCCTTCTGCATCTTCTAGTCGTTGGGAGCCCACCTTCTTCTCCACCTAGAACACCCCTGCAGCTGAGGCCCTGGTAGTCGTTCTTGTGCTTCTGCCTTGCAGCAAGGATGTCCCACTCTTCCACCCCCTCATGCCCAGAGCAGAGCTGGCTGCCTGGCAAGCGCTGCATCTCCGTTCTTCCTCCTCTCTCGATTAGTTGGCTAAATTCTCAATAATACCAATCTCTGAAATCCCACTGGTGACTGGGAGGGGCATGGGCATGACTCCAACCCAGTGTATACTGTACTGAGAGGAACCTATGGTTGGGGTGGGAGTACAGCCAGTGTACATAGAGAGTAAATGGCTACAAATCCAATGGACTTTTTACAGTGTAATAAATATATCCTGTAAATGAATGCTCCAGTGTTGCACTCCTTTTCTGTCGTCCTTCTGCGGCTCAGAGCTTTGGGAAGAGTGGAGTTTAGTTGTCAAGATGCTGTGCCTGGCTACCAGCCCCCTGGCTCCATCTACAGGGGTCCTCCAACAGAGTGCTCTGTCTGCAGGGAGCACAGAGGGACTTGCCCTAACAAATGGTCAGCTCATGAATCATAGAATCATAGAATCGTTAAGGTTGGAAAAGACCCTTAAGATCATCGAGTCCAACTGTTAACCTGTCACTGCCAAGTCCATCACTAAACCATGTCCTCAAGCACCACGTCTACCTGTCTTTTAAATACCTCCAGGGATGGGGACTCAACCACTTGCCTGGGCAGCCTGTTCCAGTGCCTGGCTACCCTTTTGGTGAAGAAGTTTTTCCTAATATCCTACCTAAACCTGCCCTGGCGCAGCTTGAGGCTGTTTCCTCTCGTCCTATCACTCATTACTAGGGAGAAGAGACCGACCCCCACCTCACTACAACCTCCTTTCAGGTAGCTGCAGAGAGCAATAAGGTCTCCTGTCAGCCTCCTCTTCTCCAGGCTAAACAACCCCAGCTCCCTCAGCCGCTCCTCATAAGACTTGTGCTCTAGACCCTTCACCAACTTCGTTGCCCTCCTCTGGACACGCTCGAGCACCTCGATGTCCTTCTTGTAGTGAAGGGCCCAAAACTGAACACAGCACTTGAGGTGTGGCCTCACCAGTGTCGAGTACAGGGGCACTACAGGACTCCCTGGTCCTGCTGGCCACACTATTCTTGATACAGGCCAGGATGCCATTGGCCTTCTTGTCCACCTGAGCACACTGCTGGCTCACGTTCAGGCGGCTGTCCAACCTGGCACTGAGCCCTGTTGAATCTCATACAGTTGCCCCCAGCCCAAGGATCCAGCCTGTCCAGATCCCTCTGTAGGGCCTTCCTACTCTCCAGCAGATCAACACTTCCACCCAAGGGGGTGGAGTGGAGGTTGGCCCTCAAGGGGCTAAGCAGAAATGGTTCCTATCATGGGTAAAGCAGAGCTGTAACGGCTAGATTGCTCTTCCTTCTGGCAAGAAGTGTCTGCTGTAAAGTTTCTGGTGTTATGTTCACATGTGCTCATGCACCACCAGGACTGAGGGCAGAGACTAGGGCTGAGGAGCAGATGCCCTGCGGCATCTCAGCACGCAGCCAGAACACAGACCTTGGTGACAACCTGGCTGACTTTGGAGAAAGGAGCATTTTCTGTCTGATGAAGAAGAAATCCTCGTTTCCACTGACAAGACTTGGACTTGGAGAGGGCGTGAGAGATCCTGGGCTCTTCCAGGGCTAACGCTTGCCATGAATATGGACGATCACACATACTTCCCTCCTGACATTTTCTCCTTTGTCTTGCAATCCATGCAGTGCCACAGTGTCCTTAGAGCTGCGTCAGGCACCAATGCCTTCCCTATCGCAAGGATTCCAAGAGACTCTACAGGCTCGATAAGGGGTTTGAAAACTTGGAGTTTGCTTGAGTTGATGAGCAAAGGTCTAAATATTGCGTAATGGAAGAGTAATGCGCATACTAGGAAAGTCCCGCTAATAAATCCTGGTTCCCTTACCCCATTTCCACTATTCCTAGAATATTTTCACTGCTTCAGCCATCTCTTCCTCACCCTCCACTGCTTCCAGATTGTGTCCTTCCAGCCCTTAGATGTTTTCATTCATGTGTTTGAATCCTTGCGCTGCCCATGGGCCTTCTGTATCCAGCAGAAGGTAAAGCATCCGCCCCTCTGTCTTGGATTTCTGAGCCTTCACTTCTGTTTACAGCTCTGTTTTTCTGAGCTGTCTCCAGAATGCACACTGAAACCTTTAGATGATGAACTCTTTATAAACCATTGCTCAATCGTCAAGTGCCTTGATGTCAGCGCTACTGCCCTCTGATCCCTGGACGGTCCTTTGACTTCTTGGAGTAGTGTCAGCTAATGGCAAAGCCCAGTTTTTCCTGCTGCCTTCAGATAGTTGTTTGGGGGGATGCTATGTTTTAAACCGTGTTTGCAAACCCAGTTTCTACTGAGCGCGTTACATCTTAATTCAGACAATTGCGGTGCAAAGCAAAAGCCACCCGAGGAAACTGCAGGAAGCGGGACTGGAATGGAAAGAATGTCGGCTGGAAAGACAGACAGAATTGCACTTTAAACAGTTTTCACTAGACTGTAAATAGGAAGGGACTGGAAAACCAGAAAAAATTTCTTTGAATGTTGTTTGGATTTTGTAATAATGAGGTTTCATGTGTTACAGAGAAAACATAACAGGGAAAGCGTTTGAACCGAAAGGAGATCAGAATCAACTGACAGGTAGCATGTGCTGTGATACATATTTTTATTGATAGTCTCTTGAACTCTATTTGTAACTAAAATTACATAAAAGACAGCCACACTACCAGTGGCTGTTGGTGAGGAGCGGTGTTCACAACGCTAGCCTTCAGGTTTGTCCCAGCATATACTTTTTCTAGTCTTGGACTTCTTTCTCATTTTTATGGGTCTGACTCACTGTTTTCCAGAAGAGGCTGGACAAACATCACCCTAGTTTGGATTTATGTACATCTTCTGTTCCCATTTACATCAAGAACTTCCACTGCTGAAACAGAATAGAAATGAGGGTTGGGATTTAGTGTGTGTCAGTAGGACGCGTTACTGTGGAGGTGGTGGTGTCCTCGTTGGTGTGAAGCTTCCTAGTGGGAGAAAGCCCTATTGAAAGATAAGCCCTGGCTGTAAAACATAAATTTGGCACTGAAACTTCTGAAACTGAAGCAACGCTGCTTTTAGATTCCATTTTTAAATGGAATCTGAGCATACTCGGAAGATCTGGTCTGTAGGAAAGATTTCCGTGAAGTATCTTCCAACAGTGAGCTGGCTTTTTTAGAAGTTACCCTCACTCCTAGAAATGCCAGCTTTTGAACTCCTATGGGAAAATCTGTGCCTGCTACAGAGCCTCGAGTACCCTGTGCCCCGCTCCTTTGCCCCACCTGCGCGGAAGGCAGCCCGGCAGGGTTTGTACCGCTCGCCACGTGGCCCGGGAGCAATCTGAGCCCCGTCAAGGCTGCTGGAGGCGGCAGCAGCTGTGCCGCTGGCCCGGCGCCCACTGCCCTGGCCGGCATTGTTCCCACCACTGTCCGTCTGCGCAGCCGTGGGGGCTGCCGGGAGAGGGAGGGCCAGGCCCGCTGTCCGCCGGCAGGCAGAAGTTCAGGGGGCAGCTTTGGGAGCATGACCGGCTCGGGGGCAAAGTTCTGGAGTGCAGCTCCTGCAGCGAAAGGTCAGGAAAATGATGTGCTGAACTGCAAGGGGAGACCCTGGGCCTGCGAGGAGGCTGCCTGGAGCATGATTCAACGCGCAGGGAGATGAGATCCCCCGAGACTACAAGTCCCAGTGTGCAGTACTACTCCTCCAGTTGCATAACCTGCACCCTGGCCCGGGCGCGCTGGTGGGCAGCCGGCACTCCTCTCCCACCCAGGCCAGGGCGGGTGCTGTTCCCGGGCAGCTCCTCTGCAGAAGGCAGCGGGAAGGTGCAGGCTTCACGAGCACCCGCCGCTCTGGGGCCCCAGGGATGACTGCCACCTTTGGCTATG